ATATATATATATATATATATACTCTTGTTCAACAGCTACATAAGAATCACCATTCAAGATGTCGAGAAATAGAAACCTTGTAACACAGTGTTATCGGTGTTTCATGTTCAAAATATTTTACATTTCCATTCCGAATGTATCGCCGATAAACGGCGATACCGAGCATTAATCCAACTTCGGGCTGTCAATATATCGTGCTACGCGCGGAAAATCGCGTTTTCCGCGCGAGCGTCGTTCAGCGAAATTATTGCGCGCGCGGCGACGACGTGCATCGTAAACGGGCAAAGCCAGACGATGGGCGCTTCCTGCCGCTGTCTGACATTTACCTCAATGTTAACGCATCGACTTTCGTTGATTGGAAAGGCTGATAAATACGGTCGCGCGAAAGACATTCAATCTCCCTCCGGTCGTTACGCGCGTTTTATTTACGGCGTCAATTTCAGTGCCCGCTGCGGGACGCGTTGAACTTTTTGGAATGCTAACGGGCTCGCTCGCAGGAAACTGTATTTTACATCTGCATCGGGGCATGTTCATAAATTGAGTCGTTTGAGTTTATCTCCAACGTGTGATGTGGACACGTCGTATCAATTTGTATCCGCTTTTTCTCCATTCTTTGTGTTTCCCGTCTGGATTTGTGTTATCCTCAGAACACGTTGCCCGAGAAATGAATTCGTTTTTCTCGCCGGAAACAGACAATTTACAACGTGTATGCGTTTCTTACGGTAAAAATTCTGCATTGCACGCGGTCACATTTGAATCGGTCATATCAGAAATCCTATATAAAAATATCTAATTTTCACAGAAAAAAAAATTTTAGTTTTTATAACTGTGGCATTTATACCGATTCATTAATTTTGTTGAGAATTACAAGCAGGAAAGAAGTTCCGAAGAAGGTGTATCTTTAACTAAAAATAATTAGAAATATGTAAGAAAAAATGTCTCATTAACTTATATATTAAATGAGTGGATTATATCATTTTTAAAACTTATTTTCAAAGATAAAAGTAATTTTGAAAATATTGACTTATGGTTGAATTAAAAAAAAAAAAAGAGCATTTCGTACAAATTACATATAATTGTATCTTAATTAGGAAATTCTGTAAATGAAATTCTGTAAATGTATTTGTCTCTCATGATTCTGAAGCTAATATCTCAATTTCGACAAAAATTGATTTTTGAAACTTCTGAAATGACCGATTTATTAATTTTGTTACGAACTATTGATTCATTAATTCTGTTAAAAACCATCGATTTAGTTTATTAAAAATTACCGATTCATTGATTTTGTAAAGAATTACAAATAAAAGGAAAGGATCTCTAACTGTATGATATATTTCGTACAAATTTGTCTCTCGCACTCGAGATAATCAATGGTAAGGATTACTCCAGTATAAATTAAGATATACATGACATTTTGCGGCTTCTCATTCGAAACACTATAAAGTATCCGTTACTCCTGTTATTGCTACTGAAAATAGAAGAGAGCAGCCCCCTGAATTAATCCCGATATATTCCGCGCGATGCGACGACACATAAACGATCGGGAAGTCGATTTTCGTATTTGTACGTCTTATTCACGAAGCAGACATAATCTCGGCGTGCCTGCGTAACGGTAAAAACAGATCGGCGTGCATTCACTTTTCCTCGTTGTGTGTACGCACACTCGGCAGGCGCATTATCCAGCCGCATATGAGGCACGCACTTTGCAGCACGCCTTTTAAGGATATATGCGAACAGTAACGTGTCAGTGCCTAGTAACAATCCGAAACATATTGTATTTCTCGAAACTCCGAGAAACACAAACGGCGTATATCACGCAACGCAATTGCATACGTTTAATTATCCTTTTACGTGTACTTTATACGCGGAAGCCTCGGTTAAAAAGCGAGATAATATATAAAAGTAATTGAAGAGCGGAAATGGGGGACGTCAGATGAGCGCCACGTGTCTGATTTTTCTTCTACCGACGCATAAATTGTGCAAAATAAAACCAACATGTACAATTATTTCTGTAATAAAAAAAATAGTTGTATCATATATATGAATATATTTAACGTAACTATTATAATATATAATATTTATAAATATTTAAAGTTTCCAAAGAACTTTATTAATATTTATATATTTATTGATAAAATTATTATTTATATATAAATGTAAACAAATATTTAATTAAATACTTTTAGAAATTAATAAAAACTCTTTATTTCGAGTTGCATTTTGTATTATGTGGAATTAGAATTTTTTAGTTAGACGAATTTTTTAATTAGAGGGTAGATCTCTAAATTACAGCATAATTCTACTATATGATTCACATTCAAAATTCGCCGTCGGTTTATATATGTTCCCGCAAACCATCACGTTCGTCTGATGGATATACTATTTCAGCTGTATAACTCTTCCTTCCTCGCGAATCATTCGCACAGCTATCACAGTAAACTTGACGATTAATTGGATGCTTATTCGGGCGGTCGAGTAAGTTGATAAAATCGACAATCGATTTATGGCACGTATTACTGGCATGAGTATACGTCACCGAAGGGAATAGGAATGTATACCTTGATTTTTCTACTACTAGCACTTTGCCTCCAAGAGGATCCGAAACAACTTTCACTTGATAGATAATAATAGTCGATTTATTCTCTTTTCCGCGTGTCACGCTGCGTCATTATGTGATTACCAGCCACGGCGTTCGAAGTTTTCTTTTCTAATTATTCACATCCGTAAAGACAGTAGAAAGCATTTCTAGGAGCATTTTAGCTACGCTCGAAGCAGATGCGCAACATTCTGAGAAATTCCGGAGGAAATTTACAGCCCTAAATTGCCTCGGGGAACGATGCGTCCGGTATACGTGCACCGCCGGCTAAGTGGTATCTATTAAGATTAGAAACTGGGTTAATATTGCTCCCTGGGATGAGCCGCTGCTCAAGTGAAAGCCCCAGCGGCTGGAGTTAATATATCGCCGCGTTGCGCAAACGTATTGTTAATTTCTCCGCTCGACTGCATGCTACACACGTGCATAGAAAACGATTAATTTTATTTCATTCTCTTGTCTGTTGGCAGACTGATCCGATGCTTCCAAAAACGAGGAACAGGTGACAAGCAAGATCCAGACGAGCGTCTTAAGATAACTTCCTCTTTCTCCGTGAAGAAGCTTCGATCAGAAGCAACGAGGACGAAACGATGTTGAGCTTACGGCGAAGGCATTCCCGATGGAGAATGTTCCCCATCTTGTTGTTCCTCGGACTGATCTGCAGCGCCGAATTGGCACCTGCCCGCTTACCTGAAGAAATATCCTCGGCACCATCATCGTCATCGACACCCAAAAAGAAGGACATTGACTTTCTGGGCGACTTCTGGCAAGCGTTGCTCCTGGTGGATCCACAAAGCGGCTTTCAACCCAGTCTGGACTCTCGAAGAATAACGCCGAAGAGCGTGTTCATCGCACCGGGGGTGTTACCTGCCTGCGCAGAAGGTTATCACGCGGACAAGATGGGTAGGTGCGTTAAGAGCATAAGCATTAACGCGACCGCGCACAAGGATTTCCTTCTGGAACGACTGAAGCTCATGTTTAGTGGTGTACCAACTGTCAAGAGCGATCAGAAAAAGTCGACCGGTCCCCTGCAGCTTAATATCCCTCTGCAGCTTAACCCTGCGGTATCCGACATCGATCCTCAGCCGACGGAGATCGAGGTCGAAGAAGCGTTCTTGAAAAACCAGCCGGTCGCGGCGCCGACTCGCAATGGAACTTACTTCTCGGCAGACCAAGAGAAGACGAAGTTGCCCATGACATTGTACGAATTGAAGAACGACACGACCTTGGACGAAGAGGAGTTCTTTTTCGGGAATTCCAATGTCGACGATATTGGAAAGAAGCTCCCGGCGACGGTTCCAGTAACGGAATTGGTCGAGGAAACGAATGACACCAATTTCTCGGAAGTGGTGGATTACAAGATTCCAGTAGATCTGAAGACAGCGTTGAACTCCTCGGGTGTGAAGAGGATCGATATCAGTGGCGGCGGTACAGAAGAAAGCGTCTTGATGACGGAGAAGCGAGAGAGCTCCACCGAGTCGTCGCCAGCATTAGTGTTGCTGATCTCGCCTACAAAACTGACGAACGTAGTGGACGATCTGTCGCTGACGCAGAACGAGGCTGCCGCCGAAGAGGTAGTGCAGATGTCCAATTTCACCTCAAACGCAAACGAGAGCGTCACCACTGGTGTACCCGATTCCGAGCTTCCTGCGAAGCAAACGACGTCGTTCCCGACAGACGAGCAACGAGACAACGAGACGTACGTGAAAGACGAGTTGGCACTGGAAACCTCCAAGCCGAGCGAAGAAACGGACTTCCTCTATGACGAGGAAGAAGGCGACGTGGATTATCCGTATAGCACAGACGTGCCGGATGAAGACGACTCGGCTGAAGGTGAGGAGATCCTGAAGCACGGAGAGGCCGGCATGACGATTCCCACGGTTCGAGATATCGAGCGCCAGGATCGCGATCGTCATCAACGGCACCAGATCGCGGAGTTAAAGAAGCTGTTCAATCCATTCAATCAGATCGTAGATCATAACCGTAACGATTCCGCGCCCACGGAGGATGAAGACGAGGCGGGTAGCAATGTCTCCAGCGAAGTCAGCATTGATGGTGACTTCATTGTGGAGACGACGCTCTTGGACGTGAACACCGAGAGGCTGCAAGTCACCACCAAGTCGCCGGACATGACGGAAGAAGTTAAAGACAGCGGGGACGAATCCAAAAACTTGTTCAGCTCGGAGACTAAGAGTTCCCATGTTATATTCCCTGATGACGTGGTGACCGTCAGCTCGCACGGACGCGAGCCAACCGAGCAGCTCTCCACTAGGTTCGAGAATGAGAAAAACAAGGAACTAGAAAGTCCATCCTCTTCGTACGATTCGCCGGAGGAATACCCGATAACTGAAATCCGCACGATCAATGATAAACGATTGAAAGAGAGCATACTGCAAAAAAGTCCGAAAGATTTCGAATCAAACGTCCCGAGCAGTTCCATACGGAGCACGATGAATTTGGACTCTGCTGAAGATTTCGTGAGATTTCCCGATTACGTGAGGCGGCCGCAGCAAGGTGGTTACGTAAGGTTTCCGGATAGCGGGGAGATAGCAAACAGCATACACAGTTTGAATTACAAGCAGAACTCACGCTATTCCGCGGACGACGTCGGCCCTTACGGCGGTACCAGCACCAAGAGCAGCGTGCCTGTCCGCCAGAAACCAGTTTATCATTTGATGGCGTCGAGTTGGAAGTCGGACTTGGATCGCGTCCAGGCGACACCCGGCGAGAGGCAGAATCAGACACCAGATTTAATGCATTTCTGGAGTAAGCTTCCGCTGATCAAAGATCCGGCTATCTATCCCGTTGATCAGAACAACGACCAGGAACAATCCTACAGCCGCTCCTTTCGGGCGCGATCATCACGAAGGTTGAGACCCTTCACGGAGACGTCGCCGGGGAATAGGGTTTCAACGCAAAAGCGAAAGACACCAGTTAGCGTTTAATCTTCCTCACATCGCTTTTCTTGAAAGAAAGGTCTAACGAACTGTGTACGGAACTGTGTCAAGTGACTCGAGAATTCCGAAATTGCGTCAAGGTAGTTTGCGGATTGTCGCCGCGTTTAGATCGCTACTGTACGAGGGACTTTATAGTAGATAAGATCGACAAGAAGGATTGTTGACGGAAGACAATCTGCGGCAATCTGTTTGAGAAGTTCAAGAGTCGGTACTGCATGTATCGCGTTTAGTATTTTTTTTTTGCTCAGCGAATGTGTTGCGAATCGTTTCGAAACTTCGACGATCTCAAGAGGAGTGATCTGGAATCCAAGTATCTTCCCGGTACTGCCTTCCCTTCATGTGAGAAGAAAACTGGACTCGCTAAAAGCGGAGGGAAATTTAGAAACGTACTTAGACATTTGTTTATTATATTTGCGTCACGTCGAGTCGGTGATTAAATCCGCATCCGAAAAAAGATTTTCAAGGAAAATCTCACAAATGCGTTCTGATATCTTATGTAATTAATAGTGATAAGAATCGAACAGAGAAAGTAGCGAGGAAGTAGCAAGTAGCGTGCTGACGCAAAATATTTGTGCAATCGATGACAAATTTTTTCACGTTAATCAGATGCTTTCTATGGAAAGTTCAAACTGTGTCATGCATTTCAAAATAAATCGCTGAGCGTTGGAATCACTTGTGAATTCATCGCGTCTGATGAGGGATATTAAGTTGCGAAAATAAAGCGTCGCTGTTTCAAACATCAAGGTTGATAAGGATAGATTTGTTTGAACTGACATTAACTAGGCTAATATTTACGAAAGCTAACATTTTCTACCAGAATGCGCTAAAATAGAAGTAACACTGCCTGAAGTAATTTTTAAATTTTTTTACGAGTGATTTTTTTACATTTTTTCGATTATAGAAATTAGTAAGGATCCGCAGTTTCGTCACATATTTAATTTCATATGTGATACTTGGCTCCTTATATTTTTAATAATATTATTTTAATAATATAACCGCTTTTTAATGAATGAAACTTTATTTCCACTGACTATTTTATTCAGAGACATATAATATATACTTATTACATTTACAATTTTATTTGGTAATTTATTCAATGTTATAATATTTTAATAATATAATAATCACTTTTTAATCAAATTTTATGTCTAACGAAATTTTGTATTGTGACTCTACTTTATTCATAGATATAATAGGTACTTGTTATGTGTATGATTTTATTTGATAATTCTATTCAATGTTTTTAACAATGTAATCATGTTTAAATGAAATTTTTACTTATGACTGACTCTTTTATTTACAGACAGTTTCTATTTTATTTATAATAAGTACTTATTACGTCTGCAATTTTATTTGACAATTCTATTAAATTTTACTTTAATAATACAATTATCTATTACTTTAATGTGACAAATGAAATTAAATAAATTATGATAGAACAATCGCAGTGAATTCTAAATATATAACGAAAATGCGGGCTAACAAATTCTTGATAAAAAATATATCGCTGATTAGGCTATCGTATGATGAAATAGTTATTAATTCAGCGAAGTTTCGTGTGAAACGTCGTTGATAAATCTATATTCTCTGTGCAGCAGAGAGATAGTTATTAGACTTGTCAGTGTTAACACTAATTTCAAGATAAGAACGTATGAATGGCGTATTCGCGAGCTCGCGAGCGATATGTTGAGCTCATTTACTAACGGAAGTGTTAATGAAGCACAGACTGATCTTTAGAGTTATTATACAGTAGTCGATTTTCGGCCGTACGAAATCTTGAGAATCGTGTTGGTCTCTTCAATAAAGAAATACAATCGTGCAGCAACAATTTCGTCGTTGTAAGATTTGCAAAGAAGACCGTACAAAACCGTTCCGGTTACACGATCTCTTGCAAATTTTTAAATAACCCGTTTTTATAAATGGCAAGCGTGCGCGAACGTGTTAGACCACTTTTTGCAGATCAATCACAAAATTACACCTACATTAACCAGCCCACAGCGTAGAATAAGTGTTTTCGGTGTGTGATCCAATCGATCGTTGTTTTACGTCGATATAGCTTCAAAGATGATTTCTCTCAAAACAGCCATTGAAATCAGTCGAAAAGTTTCGATGATCTTTGTTGTATTCGCTTTACCTTTCATCTAAGAAAGATAATTACATTTTGACGATAATGTTGTCTCCGACATCGCTATAATAAATGCTTCGGTTACATGTAGTAAGCAGGAATATTTAAAGTTTTTATTTATTTGAGATGTGTGTGTGTGTGTGTGTGTGTGTGTATGTGTGTATGTGTGTGTGTGTGTGTATGCGCGCGCACGTGTATTAGTAATATAACAAATATAAAATATTTTCAATAAGTTCTATTAATGTAAATTGCAAAAGTCTTCATAAGTTAATTTTTATCAGGTCAAAACGTACAGAAAAATTATTTTCACTTTACTAGGCAAATAATTTAAAATAATTTAAAATTAAATGCTATATGTTAAATTTTGTCATTTTATGATACTCTCCTGAGATATTATTTTCTATAGCTTTCTTTCTTTTAAAGTCAAAGAATTTAAAAAATAAAAAAAATCATTGTTATCACACATTGACAAATATAATATTAAACATTACTCCATTCAAGTAATATTTAAATTATTAAATTCTTATTAACATTCGTAAATTAAAATTTGTTTAAATAATTTGCTTCCTGATTTTAATCTGTTGCGTACAATGTTACTAAGAAGCCGCGGCTTTTATTGTAGCAGATGTTATCGAGTCATCATTCAAAGCGTCGAGACATTTCGAATCAGCTTTCTTGCGCGTGTTTCCTTCTACGAACTCGATAATTAAGCCGAAAGATTTTACGATACTTGACATTGTGTGGCCAGTAAATCTACTGATCTACATACGTTTCAATGTGGTGTGTAATTTCTCCAGTACTATTAAATGTCGATTCGTGTACATATTAATTATATCATTGAAGAATGTATATACGCATAGAGGCATAATGTAGGCATAATATAAATAAATAAGCGTTAACAGCAGCAGTCCCGATTGCGTATTAATCGTGTATTAAATCTTCTTGTATTATTTATAGCGAAATATATCAATGTATATTGCATTTGTCGTGTTGTGCGAGGCCGCCTGTTAGATAACGGAGTAAAGGAGTTATAAAAAAGAATCGCATACGACGCCCGTATGATACAAAATTATCGTGCTCTTTTATTTGTACAACCTGCCCAACATCCTTTTTAAATATCTTACAATTGAAATATTAAATCCGTTCGCGTTGCTTACAAAAATTTTTGATATCATTGCGTATAAATATATACATTTTTAACCATAAACCATTTTATATTATAATAAAATTAATTTTGTTTATTTATCTTGTTTTAAGTGCAAAAATTTGAGAGATTTCAACACGAACAAATCTGTTGTACCTATGAATTAATCAATTATATCAGCTCGTCTTGAGACCTTTAAACCCCCTAGCCAAGAAGAATGTCTCAGTTGATTCGTCCCTCGTCGCATCAGGTCTAATTGCCCTGACGCTACTGTAAAACTTTAACAGATTCTGCTCAAACTGTTGCGTCTTACCACCATCCCAGATTTTTACAACGAACGTGCTTTGTGCCTTACTGATTTGTAACGCGAATCTCAAGGCAGCGTAAGCGAGTAGCATTATATTATCATGGTCTATCTCTCTTATGCCGGATGCATTTGGAGCCATGTCGGACAAGACAACGTCGACTTTGTCCCCCTGCAATAATTTGCTTAGAGACTCCTGCGTTTTGATGTGCGTGAAATCCATGTTTCCCAAGACGGTCGCACCTTCCACAGGATAAAACGGGAGTTTATCGACAGCGTACACTCTGCCGACAGGACCTTCCTTCTTGCCACTGGCGTTGGTCAGATTGGTGGCGACCTGAGTCCAGCTGCCGGGCGCTGCCCCACAATCCACGACGGTCAGACCCGGGCTAAGGATCTTGAATCTCTCATTAATCTCCAGCAATTTGAACGCGCTTCTGCACCTGTACTTCTCCTGCTTTGCCTTCTCCACATAGGAATCGCGCAGTTGCCTCTGCAGCCACAGCTGTGAGCTGTGCTTCTTGCCCTTCAAGTTTCGTGGGATTTCCTTCAGAAGCGCGCGGCCGGTGTGCAAGCTTCTCGTCAGCGAAACGTTCCTGCAGAGAGAATTCATCCCGTATGTAAAGCAAATGTGATCTAACCTGTGTCCAAGCGCGCGTCGCAAACGCTCAGCATAAACGTTCGATTCAAGACTTCTGGTGAATTAATATTTATCTGTCAGCAGACTAGCGCCATACACTCCCAGAGAATTGTTAGTATATACAACTTGCGTTATTAAATGGAGAATAAACGCGTGTAAAGGTAAACTGTCGGCATCGCAGAATTACAACCCTGGACGCGGCCATGTTGCCTGATCGCCATTAATCCATTTTGATTGTTCGATCAGCTGATTAACATCTGTTGGTGTGGTGGGTTTCTGCCAAGAACTTGGCGAAGATTAATTAAAGTTTCTCTCTCTGATTCTATAATATATATATATATACATAATGTATATGATAGAAATTATTCTTAGAATTTTTTATATAATTTTTCAGAAAATTTTTTAAGAATTTTTTGTACAAATTGGTACATTTTGGAAGAGAAAAAGTCAAGAAAGTCTACACATCTTTTCTAGAATTCTTAATAAAAATAGAATTGATATTATGAGTTAACCGCAATGTTTTGAAAACAATCGTAATATTCTAAATATTTTTCTATTCAATTATCGCACACAGATAAACCCGGAATGGTAATAATAAAAATGCAGCTTTAAATAAAAATCAAATATTAAGTCATAAAAATATTGTTCATGAAGTATTATTATCAGAACAGTAACAAATGAATAAATTAATAACAAATCAATAAATAAATTTATTATTAACAAATAATAAATTAATTTATTGATTTGTTATTGTTCTGATAATAATACTTCATGAACAATATTTTTATGACTTAATATTTGATTTTTATTTGAAGCTGCATTTTTATTAATTAAGGAATAAAAAAACAAAATTAATATTTTAATCGTCTAAATTTTAATACCATAAGATTATCATCAGTCTTCAATAATTCCTTGTCAGTGCCTCGAGTAACTTTTTGTAAAAGTGTATGTAATATGTATGTATTGTATGATATTATATATAAGTATGCATGCATATATCAGGGAAACGCTCCACGTACTCACGCACGCGCACACACACACACACACATACACACCATACGCGAACATGCGCGTTGTTCGGCGTTTCTCGGCACGCTCTCGTACTGCTCGTAGCAGAGTACAGTCAAGTACAGTACGGAAGAGTGTCGTGTCGGCGAACCGGCCAACCGGCGATGTGACCGAGGAACCGCGGAGCGAGCTATACACACATTTGAGGTTCCGGATGTTTTCGTCGACGGAGTGATCCACGATGAACCTCACCGCGGGCAATGCGCACGGCAACGGTCTGCTCTACGCCGGCTTCAATCAGGACCAAGGTACGTCCCGTGCGGCTGCTTAAGAACGCGTGTCGATAGCGGAACATCCGTGGCCGCGTACCTGTCAGATTTGCCTTGCTTCCGTGTTTTAACCTAGCCTAGTTTTGCCACTCGCGCGTCTACGCAACGTTCGTCAATGTTCGCCTCCACGGTGATCCGCGCCGATCTGCGCGATACCACGTCTCATCCGAGCTGCTCTCGGCGTTCTCAATTTCATGCTGCTGTAATCCGGAACGCCAGAGGATCAATTTCGCCGATCGATCGACCGCGAACCTCTTTACCGAGGAATGTTGGTGACCTTTTGACGTCCGCGCTACTTGCAGCAGATTAACGATTTATTCGGATTTACTTCTGTACAGTCAGATCCCGTTAGTGAATGATTTTCCCATTTTTGTAAAAGTGTGCAATGAAAGAATGAAACGATTTGGCACATTTATTTGCATCTTTCTCCCATTGCCTTCCGTCCCATCTTGAAGTGATACCGTGGCACGTTAATGCAATGGGCGACTCTACGATTGCACGCTTGAAGTAAATTCGCGCGATATCGCGTTTCCATGTATGAGTTTATCAGGTCGAGTCATCTTCTGCATTAGTGTCGACATGTATGCATTATGAATACACACGATAGTCGATTAATATTGTTAAGGAAAGGCAAATGTATGTATAACAGATAAAACTATATCGCTATTGTTCACGCATTTGCAGGATGCTTCGCCTGTGGCATGGAGAACGGATTCCGAGTATACAACTGTGATCCACTTAAGGAGAAAGAGAGGCATGACTTTAGCGATGGAGGCCTTGGATATGTAGAGATGCTTTTCAGATGTAATTATCTGGCGTTGGTTGGAGGTGGAGTTAAGCCAATGTATCCGACAAACAAAGGTTTATTTACTTTTTGTATATTTGATATACATATCATTAGGTCTATTTTTTGTAGTTGAATTAGTATACATTTGTTGTACTTAAAACAAAATATATGTTGTTTTCCAGCAAGAAGCATAGGCTGCTTCACTTGTCAAACTCTTCGAGTCATTCTTGTTATTTATTAACTGTTAAACAAGGATAATACTCGCGAGAGCGTAAAGTGGAATGAACCCATAGTGTAACACAGGGATTGTTTTATCTTTGTTTAACATTAGCGAATAACATGGATGCAATAATTTGCTGTGGGTTATAATGTGTTATCTATTGCTGGAAAGTATCCATATATTTGAAGTTTGATGAAAGCAAAAAAGAAAATTTTAACAATTCAGCGATAAAAAACAGGCTTATTATCATGGATGCAGACTACTTACATTTTATGATTGCAGTCATGATATGGGATGATATAAAGAAATTGCCAGCTATTACCTTAGAATTTAACGCACCCGTGAAAGGGGTGAAATTGCGAAGAGACAGGATAGTAGTAGTGTTAGAGGGTGTTATAAAGGTTTATACGTTTACACAAAATCCCCAACAGTTGCACGTATTTGAGACTAATCCTAATCCGCGAGGATTGTGCGTTCTGTGCCCGAATAGTAACAACTCCTTACTCGCTTTTCCTGGACGAAAAAACGGCCACGTTCAAGGTAAGTGTTCAGTAAAAAATCGAGATCTCGATATATCTTCTACATCAAATATATTACTTAATACCAATGGCTTATATATTTCAGTTATAGATCTGGCTAATACAGAGAAGCAACCCTTAAATATAGAAGCACATGAAACGCCTTTATCTTGCATAGCTTTAAATCTGCAGGGCACCAGACTGGCCACTGCCTCGGAGAAGGGTACTTTGATAAGAGTATTTGATACGCAAAACGGTAACATGATTAACGAATTAAGGAGAGGAGCGAATCACGCAAATATCTATTGGTAAGCGTAGTAAAAGGGGACGTGACGAAACACGTGACATGAAATATTAATTTTTATACATTTAATTCCAGCATAAACTTCAATCATGACTCTACGTGGCTGTGCGTGGCCAGTGATCACGGTACCGTGCACGTATTTGCCGTCGAAGATCAAAAACTGAATCGCCAATCTAGTTTAGCATCCGCCACGTTCCTGCCAAAGTACTTCAGTTCGAGTTGGAGTTTCTGCAAATTTCAAGTGCCGAGCGGTCCTCAATGCATGTGTGCGTTTGGCCAAGATAACAATAGTATCATAGGTGAGCGATGTTTGTGAATTATGTATATGATATGTTTTTATCAGTATAGATTAGCTTTAACCTCGGTTTAATTTACTCGTTATCTTTTCTAATAGGCCGGCGCGGTAGTCAGTTTTTATTTTTAAAATTGTCTTGAATATCTTAAGATATTATAGTCTTAGGATATTATAAATCATTTACAGAGCCGTATTAGCGTCCTAAAACATTATTTAATCTTGTAGAGACAATAAGAATAGATTATAAATACTGGTCTTAGAATTAGAAAAGGATATAACTGGCAATGAAATTAAAGTTAATTTATATTGATAAAATTACAAGATTTTTAACCGAAAATCATTACATATTTCGAGCAATTTCTCACGTTTACAATCTTTTATGCAGTGATATGCGCAGATGGTAGTTATTACAAATTCGTGTTCAACAACAAGGGTGAGTGCACGAGAGACTTTTATGCTCAGTTTCTCGAGTTGACCGATGACAAAGCGTGATTGAAGGATATATAACGGCGGTGAATTTTTAACCGCACGACGAGGGACTTGATTTTCGTGTTCCTTCACTATTTTCATTCATATTTTGGCTGAAAAGAATTAAATGGCTCACAGGTACACGGAGATTGTAACACTCGAGCTGTTTATATAGGGGCAATAAAGTTTGTACCTAACGTTACGATAGAGGACCAAATGAAGAGTTCTATTGACTGTTGGTGATATCGTTCGTTGGTGTATTGTGCGCAGATTTTTGAGAACAAAAAGAAAACGATAATTGACAAATTGAACAGACAAAACTATCTTAACAGAGATTATGTCATAAACTTGTTACACGAGCCTATTCGCTGACGCCTATTAATAGAGGAAATTTTTAAATATAACAAACAGAAGGAATACTTTCCCAGGTGATAACGGGAGACATCGCAAGTTACTTGTTGGCGTGATACTCACGTTTTCTTACATTTTAGATAAGAATGTTGCTGCAGCTAACTAAAGCGATCATTGACCATAAAGCCTAATCTACAATGTATTCTTTGCTTCCTGTCTTTTATTACTTTTTCCCTTTGTTGTTTTATCGACAATCGCATTTTTTATTATGTGTTTCTTGTTTCTTCCAAAGTTCATCAACCTTTATCTTGGACAGAAAACGAAGAAATAAAATAACAGACAAAAAGATAAGAGGTAAAAAACAATAAAAACTAAGAAACAGCATGGAAAAAAAAGATTTTGTTATGGACGTAAAAAGGATTGTAAAATTTAATTGTACAATTTGTTTGCTATTTATAACAAACAAATTTGCATATTTAACAAATATTTTGTATTTGTTGCAAATAATTTTTGTAGTAAGTACAGAAAAGAATAAATATATTACACTTGCAAATAATTTGCGATCCCTATATTTGCAAATGGAATTTATGGCATAGGATTAGCGTTCATAGCAAATATTTCCTTTCCATGAAAAAGCAAAGAGCATATTGTAGATTAGACTTGAAACATGTTTGTGACAAAAAGCAAATAATCATTTGCCGTAGCTTCGCGGTAAGCGCTTTGCAATGCAATTATCCTTATTGATCATGTGTTTCGTAGCCCAGTAAATCTTTTCATCGTATATAAATGCATTATATATAAAAGCGATATACATCCTCTTTGACGATTTTGAAATCTATTTAAATCGTTGTTATAATCGCATCCATTTTTGGCGATTCGTTGAACACGATTTTTGTTTCGTAGCCAAATCATATCATAGATACGTCATATACATATACATCTACTGAAGTATTATAATTTTTATTTTTACGTTCTCATACATTTAATATAAATAGATTGTTGTTATAATCGCATCCGTTTTTGGCGATTCGTTGAACGACATTGTTTCATAGCCGAATCATATCATATACACGTCATATACATATACATCTGAAGTATTGTAATTTTTACTTTATGTTTTTTTTTTCCATACAATTTGATATACATATACGCAAGAGAGATTCTACACTTTATATCATACGGACATTACCGCAGATAATGAGGTTGTAATTTCACAAACAAATTGGGTTTAAATATGAAATAAAATTGATTATTCCACGATTCGGAGTCCTGCATTTCTATTTCTCTAAATAAATTAATCTATGATTCATATATTGTACATAGCGTTTTCGATGTTGTCACTCTATCGAGCGCAGATCTCCCGAGAAGACCTCGCTCGCTTATGCTAAAAAATTAAATTCAGTCTTGCGCTTGAAAGAAAGTGCGCATTTGTTCACAGCACAAAGAGAGATATTACTTTTGGAATTGTGATATTTTTATCCATTAGAATCTCGATAGATGGAAATCCAAAATGTATGTACACGTAAAGAGTATGGTGCATAGAAAGAACGATTTTATTGAAGTATTAAAAAATTTAATTAAATACAAATCTGAAAATAATTTTTTTGGGCCTATCAAGATACGTATACCTAGAACAAGTATAAGCTATTGTAAAAAGTTTTGATATTTAAACAAACAGCTGGGGTGTCTCACAATTATTTTGGTAATCTAACAAAATTATTTTTAAATCTGTACTTAACAATAAATATTTAGATACTTTAGCAAAATCGTTCTTTTTGTAATGAATAAATAACATCTGCGTCGCATCTTAATGCACGAACGTAAACGAATATACAACTACAACAAGGCAAAATAAGAAAAAACATTTAAATATGAGAAGCGCGTTCCTTGCAGATCTTCTTGAGCTTTACTTTCTTTATCCTATTCGTGCGAATGTTTTTATTATCTTCCGTCAATTTGCAATCAATTACTTCACTTTCGAGATGT